CACAGCTGTGCTTACTCACAGGGACAGCTTCATGTCCTCCTCGGTGAAATGAATGTCATTGTCAGAGTGCACTGTCTTGAATGTAAATGACCGAAATGTTTACAGAGCGACTGAAGCCAGGTGAAGCCGCGCCTTGTGCATTGCAGGTCGGGGACAGGGCAGCGCGGACGTGCCAGGCCCCGCACCTGGCTGCTCCCGGGTCAGACACAGGGAGCAAACTGTGTTCCAGAAACTCCTTTTTATCGTTTGCTCGCAAGATGCCTGGTGAGGCTGCCCTTCCTTGGATCTGGAGTCAGACCCGCCAGGGTGCAAATCCCGGTCCCCCACTTGACAGAAGCGTGACAGTGGGCATGCCAGTTAATCTCCTTTCTGTAATTCCCTCTTCCGTACAACAGGCCTAAAGTCTGCGTGCTGCAGAATTCTGGCCCCCAAAGGCGTCCAGACCCTGAGCCCTGGAGCCTGTGACGAGGCCAGGTTGTGGGACGGGACGCGGGGGATTCAGGCACGGAGCAGGCGACCTCGGGACGGGAGGTAAGCCTGCATCATCCAGCGTGCCTGGGGAGCCACGAGGACCCCGGCGAGGGGAGAGGGAGGCAGCAGGGCCGCCGCTCTATGTGACAGCAGCAACAGGAAGCTGAGAGTGGGGCGCCCCCCTCCTGGGGCCGTGGTGAGCATTAAAGAGCTAAGAGCCCCCTTCTTCTCTCCAGGGTCCCCCTCACTGTCCCACCTCTGCAGTCCTCACCCTGCCTCAGCCAGGGAGTCAAAATGCAGGGGAAAGAGGTCGGGGATATTCCTTCCCCATCTCTGCCCCTGCCTCCCCTCTTCCCCCCACCCACAGGAGGAGCCACGGACGTTTTGTGTGACCGCCCTCGGACACCTCTCGCCAGACTGCACCCCGCCCTCCCAGCAGGAGGGACGGGATTCCCGCCGTGGTCAGGGCTGGCGAGGAGGCGGCAGGTGCCTCGGCCAGGCTGCCGCACGATTTCTACCGTGGAAAAAGCACGCTGGCGCGGTTTCCGTAAAGGAAGAGTGTGGCCCACCGTCCAGCCCTCAGCCCCTGCAGCCGCCCCGATGGTGCGCCCCGAGGGGACTCACGGTGGAGAAGAGCAGGACGCTGGCCCTCGGGAGCTAAGATGAGCCCTGAGGAATAATGCCCACGAGCCCCACTCTGGCCTCTTCCCGTACGTAGAAAAGCGCTAAAACCATTAGCTTGCGATGTCCGCTTGCTGTGGTTAGCAGCGATCTTTCGATGTTCAGCTGCGTGGTTTTGTGCTCTTTTCTCAGCAAAGACTCCCACCCACCCGGCCCTTCCCTCACGCCTTGGGAACAGCTCCTCAGAGCTGCCCGGGAGGCTGCGTCCCGGGCTGTGGTCCTCAGCAGGGTCCCCCAGTAAGACACAGCTCACAGCTTCTAGCTTCTCTTCAGTCAGCGCTACCCATTGCTTGGAAGGGAGGTCTTTGGTGCTGCGGGTAAATACAGTGGAAGAATTGAGCCTCTGATAGATTTGAGAAATGCTGCAGGAAAGACAAACCTGAGTGTGGTCTCCTCCGGACTGAAGAGCTCGGGGCAGCCGAGAACATCAGGCCGTGAAGGGCTGCGGGGGGGGGGGGAGGGGGCTGGTGGGGGGGGGGCCCTGGGACTTCTCATCCGGCTTTAGTTCACCCAGCACTGAATCCCAACTAGCGAGCGGCGTGTCTGCTAGAGCCATAAAAACCTGGATGCACAGCAGGGTGACTAGGAAATAATTCAGGCCTTCATCTGACTCTCTCAGCAACGAAAACAGAACGGGGGAGAAAAGGGACTTTTTCCTTATCTGCTGAATGATGAATGGCTTAGCGCTTCTGGCAGGTCTGCGTCTGGGACCCATAGTTGTCT